CTCTTGCAGACTGCTCATGATTCACCTGGAGGGTCATGGCTGGATTTCAGGCCCCTTGCTCTGTGCTGGTGCCTGGGTGCTGCCTGGCCCAGCAGGCAGGGCAGGATCTGGCCTAGAATAGCACTGGCTCAGCAGGACTTTCCTTTGGGCTGGACCCCCACATTTTCCCCTGAATGGAGCCTGATCCTGTCCCAGTGCAGCATTTCACCCCAGCAAACTCCCAGCACAACCACGGGCAGAAAACAGCTTTTCTGTAACAGTGGAGGGATGGCATCTCTGTCTGTGCCTGCCCTTTGTCACTCTGCTGTGCTTGTGCTGGCCTTTGCTCCCTCTGGGCACACCAATCTCAGTGGTGCTCACACACAGACTGGCAGCAGGGATGCGAAGGAGCTCTGGACACAGGATCCACAGCAGCTTCTGCACAAATATTACAAGTGCTGAGGTTTATAACCCAGAAAATCTGGGCTCTGAAGGGCTCTATCTGGAGGGGCGGGAGGCGTGCCGCCCTGCCCAGAGCCACTTTTATGCCATTGTGCCTTTTCAGCACTGAATTAAGGCAGCCAAAGAAGGGGGATTTTTAATGGTTCCAGGGGAACAAAGTGGAAACATTCGACCCAACTTCATTACAGAATCATCTGAAACGCTTGAGGAACGTTTCCCACTAATTATCATAAATAGCCGAAAAAAATCTTTCCCTCCCAAAGCAGGTTCCAGCTGCCCCTCTGTGTTTTCTCACCTCCACTTCCAATAGCCTGACCCTGCCCCCGCACAAAGGGGAGACCCCAGCTCCGCTCCCCCCACACTCAGGAGCTCTAAAGAAATACAAACAGGCAGCAGATTAACAGCACTTGTTTGCACCTTAAACAAACAGGAACTTCCGCCCCTCCGGGCTCTCTCGCTGCCCAAGGGAGGATGCAACAGCTTGTTTTTCTTGCCCTTGCTCTCATGCTCTGCCCAAACCCTGAATAAAAGCCTGGACAGCCCAAGGCATGAGGCAGACAGGATGAGAATGCCAGGGGTGTCAGCCCCACATCTGCTTGAGCCTCATCCCTCCTGCTGTGTGTCCTCTTGCTGCCCCTGGGGAAGTCAGGCCCCTGCTGCAGTAGGGTTGGGAGATGCCAAGGGCAAAGCAATGAAGGAATGTCCCAGTTCAGCTCTTGCCCCATGTGTCTCACTGGGCTTCCTGCAAGAGGCAGCCTGACGTGGCTGGATGGGTACTGTGTGGGGAGGGATGCTGAGTGTGGCAGCGTGGCCACGAGCTGGGATCCCATCACAAGCCAGCAGTGAGACTTGCCCACCATAGCCCAGGCTTGCTCCTCGTGTGGGTTATAGTGCAAATCCCCCTCACGCAGGTGTTCATTGCCCCCCTCCCCATGAGCCACAAGAAAGAGTTTTGCTTGTGAGCCCCCTTCCTGCCCATTCCCCAGGGACAGGAAAGGGAACTGAAGCAGGTGGCAGGGACGGGCCACCACACCCACAGCATGGGTGGCTCCTGGCAGGGCTGACATGCAGAGGGTTACAGGTCAGTGCTGCAGCATGTGACAGTCCTGTGGGAGCCACGTCTCACCTGCACAGGGCAGGGAGAGAGCCAGCAGCAGCTGCAGGACTCCCAGGCCATGCTGGAGTCCCCTGGTCCCAGCACCACTCAAGGATGCACATGAATGTCTCCTGTCTCTGCTTCTGACTGTTGGTCACCTGAGGCTGTGAGGATGTCAGGCAGTCACAGCAACTGGGAAGAGGTGTAGAGTGTCATGAGCAGCCTGGAGATGCCACATGGGGATACTCAACTGTTTTTTTTCCAAAACAAGAACCAGGGGCATCCTGTGCAAGGAGCAGCAAGCAGAGGAAGAGCAAAGTGAGATGATGCCTCGTTCAGTGCATGGGCAATCCTGGGCACTCATCACCACATGGTGCTGTGGATCTTACCTGAGTTCAGAGAAACCAGAGAAATTCACAGGTTAAAAACTGCTGACCACTACCCAGTGCAGTGGTGTGCTGCAAAGGGATGCCTGGGCTGCCCACAGCCCAGAGTGGAGAAGGTGTGCCAGGGACTCTGCACTCCACAGCACCTGCCCCAGCCACACACCTTCATTGCAGCGAGCTGTAGCCCTGAATCAGCAAACACTGATCTCCCTGGTGCAGATGCCCAAGCTCTGCCCCATCTCCGTGTGCTCTCTGGCAGCTCTTGCTCAGCAAGCAGGAAACCCCAGGGTGCTGCCCCACAGGCTGCTCAGGCACATCGCCCCCAGGACGCCCTGCATCCCTCTAAGCTCCTTCCCTCCTGGAGTACACTGGGGCCAACAGGGGCAAATGGGAACAGCTGCTAATTCCTCCCAGCCCAGCCGTAACCCTCCAAGGGCTGGCCCCTGAAGTGGTGGAGGGAGCTGACTCTTGCCTGTGAGCCAGCTGCACCAGCCTGGCCCTGGGAACATGCACACTGTATTTTCATTGCAAATTACAAATCGATCATAGCAGGAAATTCCCGTGCTGAGAACACCCTTGGCTGTTATTATTTTACAGCACTCTGAAGCACTTAGAGGTGTTCTGGCCACTTAGAGAGATGTGGCCTTTTCGGGGTATTATGGGGCAAATTAGTTTTAAAAGCAGCTGTAGGAATGTCAGCCATTTGGCTTCCAGAGCCGGATGAGCACAGGTGGAGGCTGCAGGGCTTTGGGTTGCATTCAGATACTGCAAAGAGGGAACCAGCATGCTCCAGAGTGAACACCTCTTGCCTGACCCCAGCTTTATTAATAACCAGTAATTAATATGAGAGCGGACGTGCCTTGTGTCTCTGAAGACCTTTTAAGATGTGATTATGTTGTGCTAATCTCACCCCGAAGTACTTCCCTGTTTAGACTGTGCTGGGCCATTAAATATCTGAAAAGCCAGCAGAGACCCCCCCACCACCACCTTGGGAAGTGCTTGGGGTCTGTTCCCCAGCAGCCGGGCCCCGCTTTCAAACCCTCTAAATCAAGTATTAAACCGAGTCCATCTGGATTGCCAGAAAAAACACTCCCTCCCCCTCATCTGTATCTCATTACCTGCTGTGCCAGCCCTGGCCCCGGAGCTGCTCGCTCCATCCCGCCCAGATGTGCTGCCCCACGCTCGCCTCCCCTATTTCACAGCCGTCAGCAGCACATCAAGGAGCAGCTGAAGGGCCTGTAACACTGCACAGGTTCTCAGCGAGGATGTATATCCAGGTCCCTAATGCATAGCTGCAGGCATGCAGTCTGGCACAAAGCCCCTTCCCCCTCCCCTGCTCTTGCACCAGGCAGGGGAACTGGGGTGCTCAGGGCTCACTGGCCAGGAGGTTTCTGGGTTGCTTTTCCACTTTTTCTTGTGAAACACACATGCCCAGACTATTGCTTTTCTGGGACTCTTTCCCTGGACACCTCCATGCCAGGCAGCTCCCACGCCACACAACCGGGGAAGGGCAGCCCAAGGCAGGACAAGACGGAGCAGGCACCAGCAGCAATGGCAAGGAGTTGAAGACAGACACCTGCAACCCTGCAGAAACTGGGAACAAATTTGGGAGCAGCTTACCGTGCACAGGGCAAAATCAACACTGAAGCTAAAGCAAAAAAAAAGGTACCTAGAGACCTGAATCAAGGGAACAACCCCTGTGTTCATCGGCTCAAGCTCTCCTGGAATAAAGCTTCCCAGGAAAGATTTCAACACTTTCTGTGACAGCAGAAACCACAGAGGAACAGCCACTTTTGTTTAAGTTTGGCACTTCCCTGGGCCTGGCAGGAGCCCAGGACTGCCGAGGTGAAGGCTCTCATCAACCCTTCCTCCCGAGTTTCCCAAGAGACCCGTTCCCATCCTGCAGCCAGGGCTCAGCACCAGGCCAGCTCATGGTAAAGAAGCACACGGCCAGCCATGCTGAAACATCACTCTTCCAGAGGGGCTGGGCAGCACCACAAGGCGGTTTTGGGGGACATGAGATTTAGGAGTGGGAAGAAAAGCTTATCTATTGTCTCACAGTGCCAGAGTCTGTGGAGGGTCGGCCCTGGTCCTACCCCAGCACTCAGTGCAGACCCCACACTCCAGCAACAACAGGAATCCCCAGGATGAAAACAGTCTTTTCACCAGCCCATCAGACATGCAGAGGAGGCTTTAATATCAGGGAGGAGGAAAGGGAGAGGGAGAGGGGAAGAGATCTGTGTATGATGGTGGCACAGACACTGCCACATCCTGTAACGCGGCACAGAGAAGAGAACGGGGTGCAGGGCAGGAAGTCTTGTGATATCTTTCCCCAAGGTCTGCGAGCATCTTCCAGGGATGGGAGGAGATTCGGGTAGGGTCTCCTGACCATGGCCAAGAAGCGGCCATGTCCGCGGTGCGGGGGCTCCGGCGTTTCGGTGGCCGCGGTCAGGCGGTGGCAGCCACTGCCGGTGTCGGGATGCCATCTAGTGTCCCTTGGCAGAAGGGCCGTCAGGCAGGGACACCGCGCATAGGCTTGCAGGCTCCCAGCATCGCCAGGAGTCATCCCAAACCAGCCCGGCTGCGGGGAGCCCCTGCACTGGGATCGGCCTGGCTGCCGGGACCCCATCCCAGGGACAGCGCACCCTGCGGCCAGCACGGCTGCAGACCCAAAAGGAGGACAACTGGCACAGCCCAGGTCATACAGGGACAGCGAAGCTCAAGGTGGTGCCGGGGCTGGCTCAGGGGTCCCCGGAGCAGCCAGCGCCTGAAGGCTCAGCAGCCGCACAGGTGGCCCGGGGG